TATTTTTTATTGACTTGGTAAACGCTGGCTATTTTTGAATGATCAGTCCGAAAACTGGCTATATCATGCTATTTTTACACCAGAATGCTATATGACTATTAGTGGGCCCAACTCTAATCCTTTTTTTCTTTAAGGTCTCATTTGTTTTCTTTAAGATTAAGACGTCTGAATCTGAATACACATCTGAATATCAAGATGTGTATTAAGATTAAGACATCCGAATCTGAATACACATCTGAATATATTAAGATGTGTATTAAGATCTGAATACTAAAAATTAAGACTGTTTGATTTTTAACATCTGAATGCATAAAATTTATCTTTATTTGAAAAAAAATAAACATAAAATTCAAATGAAATACTAACTAATCTAATATTCTATCAATAAAATATATAGTTTTTAAAAATATGATAGTTATTGGTGGTGATGGCTAACGGGTAAATGTCGACTAGAGGCGGTGGTTGGTGGTAGTTTGGTTGATGATGGTTGTTCATGCTAGTAGCTAGTAGTGATTGGTAGTGGTGGCAATTGCGATTGAGGATGATGGTGGTGGGTGGTGTTAGTTAATCATGGCGGGCGGTGGGTTATGATTGAGGAGGGTAGTGGTAGGTTATAATGATGGGCGATGTCCGTTGTGGTTGTTAATGGTGATGGAGTGGTTGGTTGTGGTAGTTGAGGTGGATAAGTATTGACTGTGGGTGAGAATGATGGTGGTCGGAGTGGTGGGGATGGTGGATGGTGATGGTCGATAATGGTGACGACTATGATTGAGGATGATGGTGGTGGTGGTTGAGTATGATGGTAGTGGTAGTAGTGGTGGTGGTGGTAGCGTGGCGGTAGTTGATAATGGTAGGTAGTGGCGGTAGTTAATAATAAATATGTGGTAGCATCTTAATGAAATTAAGTCTTTGTTATAGATCTTAATCATACAGACCTATTCAGACCCATTAAATGGTTGTGAAGTAAAAAAAACAAACACACTTAATGATTAAGATCTGAATAATTAAGATTCAGACTTTAAAAACAAACACACTTAACGTTTGAGATCTGAATGATTAAGATTCAGACCTCCATTAAGTGCAAACAAATGAGGCCTAAAGTATCTTTCTTTTAAAAAAAAATGTTACTGTATTACATTAAGGATCACCAAAAAAAGAATGGAGAAATGATAACAATGAGATTTGAACTCACGCCTATTTAAGAGACACTATTTGCTCAACATTTTAGCTAATGTAACCTTTGTTATTGGACGATGTATGAGGACAAAAGCCATTTTTTGCCCAGGTAAACAATGAGAATATTATCTACAAACTACAAGTTTCACCTTTAATTTTATAGTTTCACCTTTAATTTTATAATAACACTCTTGCATCAAATTAGTGCTGTCACATTAAAATTCGCCATCGCCAACTTATTCATGCCTTGAGCTCCAATAATTTTGATGATTCTTTTCTTTTTTCAGATATTAAAAAATCTTACTGCTAAACTAAAGTTGGACCAAGTTCCAATCAGTGTTATATATATATATATATATATATATATAATCTAAAATCGAACGACATCTTTTTTTTTCCCTCGACGCAACGTATATTCTCATCCATAATATAAAAATGCACGGGTGGTTTCTCCTTGAATTCAAGTTTAGTCAACCATGTTTGTTTGGCCAAAAAATTAACATAACTGGAAACGTCAATGTACATATTATAAACAGACCGCAACTCTCATTACCTGTCCAAAATTCCCCAAAGATTCTGTCATTGGTTAGTTTTCCAAACGACCCAGAAACTGTCGCCACTAGTTTTCGTAGCTACTACGAAAGCTAGAAAGAGTCAATTAACGTTTTCGATCTGTAAATTAGAGTGCTGATAGAGAGACCCATTATTTGTGTCCGCCTCTCTCCCATATTTCAGTCAGTTTCTTCGAATGACAAAGCAGAGGGATGAAAATGAAAAGGAGGAGAGGGTTGTGTTAATGGATGGGGTTTTAGAGGGGATGCCCCTCTTTGCAAAAGAATTAATAGCTGGGGGTGTGGCTGGTGGATTTGCTAAGACTGCTGTTGCCCCTCTTGAGCTTATCAAGATCTTATTTCAGGTGCTCCCTTCTTTCTTTATTCTTCTCTTTTTCTGCTTAAATTCATTATCCCTGCGGGAAGTTCTCAGCTTTTCTCCAGTGGTTTGTTTCCAAAAAAAATAAAATATTGGCCTTTCTGGTTAATGGCTTAATGGAGCATTACTGAATTTGGTTTGTCAAGATAATGATGCTAATCTTGGGTTGATGCACTGACAATGTAGAATGATAAACAAACTTAAGAGAACTAATTACACTGACTGCTATTGACACAAGTGCTAAAGTGTGTTACTGGAAAAAAATGACCTTTCTTTATGCTCTTGGTAGAACTCAAAATTTCCTGGAAGATCAAATTCTTACCCTTAAATTTTCTTCTTCATAGACCAGACAAGCTGAATTTCGGAGTTTGGGGCTGTCCGGATCCTTTACAAAGATTGCTAAGACAGAAGGAGCTCTCGGATTTTTCAGGTGCAGAATCCACAATTACTGCTTTCACAATTGAGAGCTATATATTTCATCTTAAATTCACATGTTTTGTTGGTGGAACTCTTCTCCAGGGGAAATGGAGCTAGTGTTGTTCGCATTGTGCCTTATGCTGCTTTGCATTTCATGGCCTATGAGGAGTACCGCCGCTGGATTATACAGAGTATTCCTGGAGTTGGGAGAGGTCCAGTTCTAGATCTTGTAGCAGGATCGTTTGCTGGTGGGACTGCTGTACTTTTTACCTATCCACTTGATTTAGTTCGAACTAAATTGGCTTACCAGGTAAGAGAATACGAGATGTTCTTTCGTTTCCATTCATCTGAAATCAATATTGTCCAGAGATCCACAACTTGATCAAATTGAGCTTTTCCCGAGCTGGATTATGTTCGTCCTAGGGATATGAGTTGAATTCGTACTACTGTTCCATGAGCAATTTTTTGCTTATGATCGTCTAGGTTGTTGGATCCCAGAAGTTGAATGTACAAGGGCCTGCTACAGGTGAACAGTTTTACAAAGGGATACGGGACTGCTTCTCAAAGACATACAAGAAAGCTGGAATAAGAGGGCTGTACCGTGGTGTTGGTATTGCCTTACAATACTTCTGATTAGGCCTTTTTTGTCAAGTTTTGTCAGTCTAATAACCATGTTGTGTTTGCAGCACCATCACTCTATGGAATCTTCCCATATGCGGGGCTAAAATTTTACTTCTATGAGAAAATGAAAAGCCATGTCCCTCAGGAGCGAAGGAAGTCTATCGCAGTAAAACTAGCATGTGGATCTGTTGCAGGACTACTAGGTCAGACTTTCACTTATCCCCTAGATGTAGTGAGAAGGCAGATGCAGGTAATATACTGAGACAGCAAAGGCAAACAAGTTTTTTTTGCCACCAACTTGCTGTTGGAATGACAAAGAGGAGACAATATTTCAGGTACAACGACTCTCCGCATCTAGCAGCAGCCATGAAATGAAAGGAACGCTTGATACTCTTGTTATGATTGTACAAAGACATGGATGGAAGCAACTATTTTCTGGGTTGAGCCTCAATTATTTGAAGGTAATGCAATATCTACTCCTTAAAGTACAGAATTTCTACATGTAATAATGGAGGGTATGCTGGACATTTTAAGGTATAGAAGTGAAAATAAATGAAACTTATGATTGGTTAAGGTTCAACAGAAGGTATAAGAAGGGTCTCAGCCTATTTTTCCAGGAAAAATGCGAGTTGCTAGACCCAAAAGTGGGTAATATTGTTCGTTTCCTATATTTTAATATCTATTACTGGCTCTGATCAATGTGCTTTCTGAAATTAAGGTTGTACCATCCGTGGCAATTGGATTTACTGTTTATGATTTGATGAAATCATACCTGAGAGTACCATCAAGAGATGAAGCTGTTGTAGAAGTTGTTACCAGCCGCAGAAATAGTAAACCATCATCCCTGCACTCTTAACAAAATCTTCTCAGGCTCAGAATTGGACTTCTAAGTTTGTACATCCATTCTTTTAAGAACAACACAAGCATAAATGTTCTTTGAATAAGTAGTTGACTCATCAAGCAATTAGATGAGACTGCTGCTCATTGCATCTATAACTAGGTAGGATCCTTTCTGTATATAGACACAATTACATTGCAAATGTGTGGATGAAGCTTGACTTCTTGTAAATGAAAGCTCTCATCCCATCATGTTATACAACTGGTAACTCTTTTCTTGGACTGCTCCTTTCCATTGCTCAGTGTCATCATGGAGTGATTTGCAGTTCCTTTAGTTCTACATCAGTATGACATGAACTAGTCAACAGTAGCATAGCTCTATGTGCTGGACCGGCTAAGTGCGAATATCAAACTTCGATAATCCTCAAATTCTTTCTGTAGCAAATCTGAGTCCATAAAATATTAATAGATGCCATTGTTCAATATTCAACTCTTGTTGCATGTTCCATTGTTCATCCAGGAGGTCTATTAGATCTTGTTAATAGTAGAAACTGATAAGATGGTTCTAGTCTTCTAGATGTACCAATAACAAGAACTGGAAAATTTGGGGAAATTTTAATTGTTTTCTATTGCAAAATATTCATATAACTAATGTACAATGTGATATCATCCTATAAACATGATTACAAAGATGCATTGCACCAAGTAAATTTACATGTAAATTCTAGAGTAAAAATGCAGTAATAGCTTCAATCTAGGCTAATGGACTTCACCAATAGTCATTGCAGGAGCATTTACCATCTCTGAAATGATGAAACCGCTTGTTATCTCTGACAATCAACTCTCTCCCAACAATCTTTGACATGATCTTAATTGCATTGTGACAGTCACCACATATCCGTAGGTTTTTGATGATCCTAAGAGTTGTTCTTGCCGGAGTACTAATTAAACCATATGCAATAGCCAATCTCTCACTATGATACATCAGTGCTTGCTCCTTAGCCGCCTCATCAATATCATGAAGCACATACCTTGTGTCTGGTACATAACCTGCATCCCTCATTTGCCCGCTCAAGCCTTTCAATTTCTCATATGCATCTGCCCTGTGTTGAATTGTGCTCTTGAACTCGTTAACTCTATCCTTACCCTCAAGCATATTAAACTGAGAATGCCTCTTCTGAAATGGTGCAAGGGGCTTATCAGCCATATTTCTGGAAGAATCTAGCCTAATGAGTAGCTCCTCAGCTCGATCTTCAAGTTCGATATCCCCATGAATTCGTGCAAAATTTATGATGGACTGCCATACTTCTTTTGTAGGCTCAATAGGCATGTCTTCAACAAACTCTAGAGCTTCGTTTAAATGCCCAGATTTGCCCAAAACATCAATAATCCCCAAGTAATGCTCAATTTCGGGAACAATGCCATACTCATTCTTCATCAGCTCAAAATACACAAAACCTTGTTTGACAGCCCCCTTACTTGCACAAGCGGAAAGAACCGCAGAAAAAGTGTCCCCATTGAGCTCCAACACCCTAAGTTTTCTCATATGCTCAAACAAATGCAAACCACTTTCCCCATCGCCACTTTCTGCATACCCACTAATCATCAAGTGCCATAACTCCAACTTCTTTTCACGCATTTTATCAAACACTTTTCTGGCGTTCCTCATGCTCCCGCTCTTAACGTACATTTCCACCAACCTACCATTCAATTCAACATTGTTACTCCAGGGCGAACGTATTAAGAGCTCGTGCACCTTCTCCCCAACGTCCAAAGACGCAAGCTTAGTACAGTAGCTCAACAATGCCTCAAAAACACGAAAGTCAGCGCCAACGCCTTGCGTAACGTACTGGATTACTTCTTCAAACTTACCTTCATTGCACAGAGTCATCAAGTTAACATCATCTGCTGAGATGAGGCTCACTGTTAAGGGTTTAGCTTCTTTTTGAATGGTAGTAGTGGTTTTTTTGTAATCTGGCTTGTTGTTCCGGCGAGGTCTTGACTGTGGAGAGTAGCGGCTGGTGTTACGGCCAGAGTGCTGTGGTGGGGAAGCGGTGGCGCTGGGTTCGTGTGGGGCAGCGTAGAGGGGTTGAAAATGGAGTGTAGAAGGTGGAAGACGGAATTTTAGGAGAGTGTTAGGGGAAAAGATGGAGTTAGCCGTTCCGGAAAATGAGGAGGACGCCATTGGAGAGGGGTTTGCCAATTCCCACAGATTTATCTGAAAGGGCCTAAGAGAAGCTTTGGAACGGTGCCGTCTGGTTTAGCACGTCTTAAAGAGTAAATATCTTCCTATCCAGTTCCGGTTATTTCCTGCCCTTTTTTTTTTTTTTTTAATTTTATTTAATT